CATGTATATACTTCCATGGCTACTCTCTAGAATGGACCTATTAGTGGCAATGGCAGAAACTTTTATAAACTATATTAACTTTTCAAGAAACAAATAAATAAAAAAAATCATTATAATAACACATGACACTTACTATAGTTTATAAAACTATATTTTCTTCAAAGTAGTTTATAAAAATTTCTGTCATTGCCACTAGGTCCATTTTAGAGAGTAGCCAATGATAAAAATGTTTGAATTTTAGATTTGCGAAATTTCAAAAACCGCAATATTTAAAGTTATTTTGAAGTAAATAAATTTATAAATTTTTATGCACTACTGATATGGTTTAATGGTAATTTCCAAATCGGATATTTGTGTACCTCACTCCATAAGGAATTGTCCTTTAGAAGCTTAGCAAGAATAAAAAAAGGTGAGTGAACTCATACACATGAAAAATACATCGTGATACACAAGATAACACGTGAGGTCTAATTCAAAATTACATTTACAAATAAGCATAATATTTTAAATATCGCATTATTTAAACTCGTTTCAGTTCAATATTATATAAATTAAAATAAAATTTGACAAAACTTTAGCCTTGTATTGTTTTTTTTAAAAGGTGATATGATAACTTAATAAGTCATTTCCCATCAACTTTATATAGAAGAAAAGACTGACAAGAATATGAGTTCAGATTTTTTTTTTTTTTTTGGTTATGTGGTTGTCCATGTTATAGGTGTGAATAAGCCAAAACATTGGCATTATAATTTATTTTTAAGTGTATATATGAAAATGATATGTGATAAGATAATATATTATTACTTATTATATGGCCTACACCTCTCTTCTTTTTCTTGAAACATCATATCATATCATTTTAATAACTGGGATAATAGCACTTCTAGTCCTTCAGTTATTATGTGAATTTTAATTTAGTTCCATAATTTTTTTCTTTTAACTTTTTATTTGGTGTTTGATATTCGTGTCACTAAAAGGAAGAGCATGAGACACTTACCAGTTATTAGAATTGGCATTACTTTAATAGCGAAATAACCCTGTTTAATTGCAATAAGAGAGAGAACTTCGGAATTAGTTAAAATTGGATTCGCGCTAAGAAGTCTCACGTCAGAGGATAAAGTGCTTTCTAATAAACTCCATATCAAAAGGCTCAAATTCAAGATCTTTGATCAAAGATAAAAGAGTATTTACTACTTCTATTATACTCCTTGTTAGTCCTGATCACTCCTCATGGTATAACCTTAATTAATTGAAATGTATATTTTTTTTTGTCGAGTTATGCAGGACAACATTTAGAATATTTTTTAAGACTTATATTACTGTCAAATATGGCGTAGCAATGTAAGTTTAACATAATAGACGGATAATTAAATGATGAAAAGATTGATAATCGTGATATATTTTGGGATTTTTTACAAGCAAAATGAATAAAAATGCATGTTTCAACTAATTGAAAGTTAAATATGCTAAGTCAGATTAGCCAGCATATCATCTACGCTTAATGCGGAATTTTAATTGTATCAAATCTTTCAGAAAGCTTTTGCACATAGCAAAAAAACTCTAAAATACAACCATACAAAGACTAATTGAAATCAATGGGTTACCAAAATGCTATATTTTAACCCAAAATTTGCAACACAATTTTCTTTTTTTTTTAAAAAAAAACTCCACAAGATGCTAAAATAAGGAAAATTATGAATTGTGAATTAATAATTGTTGTGATATTGACTTCTCTGCATAATTATGGTATTTATATATGTTCTGAAACATTCTATCTTTTCCATAAAATTTATTTTCAATTATTTATTATTATGAATAAAAAGCTTCCCACCAGACGACCCCATTTGTTTGAATTATTCCCAAATATTTTTAATTATTGATTATAATGTGGACAAAATTAAAGCATCTCTACTTCTTCTTTGAGATTTCATTTGGATTGCTCAAAAGAAACATATTTTCTCAATAATTCATTTAAGTGGCGGAGATAAAATTTTCATCAAATAAATTTATATATCTATATAATATAATTTTTCTTTAAAATAGATTTAGATAAACTCATTTTCAATTCTTTACCTTCGTCCGTGATTATTCATCCTTCTAGCAAAGATTGACAAATATACCCTTAATTGTATCGATTTTTTTTTTGATTTAAGAAAATGGCTCTATTCCTTTTAATTTAAATGTTTACTTTTCTTTTTAGTTTGTTTTAAAAAGAATTTTCTTTTTATATATTTAGTAATTTCTTAATTTCAACTTTTTCGATTTACCTTACTGACACTCTCTTATATATAGGAGTGACAAAATTAATTCTTGAAAATATGTTGAGATAATACATAAACAAACACTCAAAGCAAGTAAGCATTTCAATTTTGAGAGTGTATATGTAGACACCTCAACTTAGTCTCACCTAGCAACTATAAACACTCCAACTCGTCTCTTTTGTGTTTTGTGACACCTGACGCTGACATGACACGTAATTTTTAGAGGTGTCTGGATGATCATTTTATAAGTTGGAGTGTTCAACTGACATAATGAAGACAAGTTGAGGTATCTAGATGTGCATAATCAAAGTTGGAATGTTTACTTGCCGGCTAAGGTCAAGTTTGAATACTTTCTTATGTATTATGCCAAATATGTTTGTCCAAGTTTAAATAGATTAATGACCTACTCATTTATCAAGTCAGCCCACTATAATAAATGATCGTTTATGGTATTCGAGAATGGTCCTACAATCATTGAAATTGTATAATGGTGGTTTTGGATGCTATCTCGAAAGTAATAATTAACTTCTTTGATGTGATTGTGTTTGATAAGTCCTATCTTGATAGTAATACAAATTATTAATTTAGAATTCAATAATTTAAAAATAATTAAAATTTTAAATTCATAAATTTCAAATCCTGATTTCACCTCTAACAATATCAAATGGGAACTAGAAATTCTCTATATGAAGGATGTGTTATTTTTTTTTTGTAACTAGCACTTTCATTTAATTACCAAAAG